CCATGCCATGCCTTTAATATGAATTTTGTACGATATATTGCTCATATTTGCTGCCTTCACGCCGAAAACCAATAGAATGCTTGGCGTTGTTGTTGCGTTTGTTGTTGTTGTTGTTGAGAATGTTGTTGAATTTGTTGTTGTTGAGAATGTTGTTGAATTTGTTGTTGTTGAGAATGTTGTTGAATTTGTTGTTGTTGAGAATGTTGTTGTTGATGTTATTTTGAATGTAATAAAACTTCCATAAAACGTCTGATATTTATGTTCCATTGCGACAACTTTCGCTGTAATCGTCTTCGTCGTCATCATCATCACCATCATCACTATAACCACCATCATCATCATCATCACCACCATCATCATCATCATCACTATTACCACCATCATCATCATCACTATCACCACCATCATCATCCTCTAACCACTTGCTCGGAACATCTCTCCTTAAAATTACTGTAACTCTGGAGAGCGCGTGAGAACTCTTCGAAAAATTCGCTCCCAATCTCCTGTACCCTGTGTTTGAGGAAGGAGGAATGAAAGAAAGAATGAAAGAAGGAAGGAATGAGATGGATGGAAGGTATATGAAGAACGAATGAAGAAGAGTGAGGAGAAAGACACAGAGAAAGAAAACCACGGAGAGAGACAGAGGAAGAAAGGGAGAGAGAAAGAGAGAGAAAGAAGATAATTACGATGAAGAAATTACCAAATTGCAACTAAATTGCAAATTCCTCCTCATTATCATCATCTCCACCACCATCGTCATCATCATCTCCACCGTCGTCATCATCATCTCCACCACCATCATCATCATGACCAACCTTATGTTTATGGGTGTCTGGGGCCAGTTCTTGTTGACCAGGTCATAGAGAAGCTCATTGGCCGATGGAACTCGTTTGATACTCAACTTACGTATGCCTAATTCTTGGTCAGTTAGTGTGTACGAATCATTATCGTCGTCAGATGACATTTTCCGGAAATTTATCTCTTATTGTTCTATCATTATTATTATCATTAATTACAAATTATTATTAATTTAATAAGTATTTAATCAGCAGCCGGTACGTTCCTTACTTAAATGACAGCAATTATCCCAATTAATTATAAAACTGCTAATCAACGAGTTTATTATTACTGTTACTACTACTACTACAACCACTATTATTGATTATTAGTAGTAGTATTAATTATTATTACCATTATTTAATTATTATTATTACAATTATTATTTATAACCATCAATCTGTCAACAAAGCATCGTCAAACGAAATGCCTGTCAGCTTTCATAATTTCAACTATATATATATATACACTCATACAAACACACACATATATATATATACGTACATACACACATATATATATATACGTACATACACACATATATATATACGTACATACACACATACATATACATACGCACATATATATAAATATGTACACACATAGTTTGTATAGCGCGCAGAGAAGCTGAGATCCAAGCATGTGTATGTATTGTTGACATCTCTTTATATTAATACCATAATGTGTTCGTCGTTCTTATGCTATAACAACTACCAGCCACTCAGCTAGACTGTTTAAAGCAGTTTTATTTCAATTAAATCTATTTTAAATGATTTTAATTAATTAGATGCAAATCACACAACACATTTCACATCAATGGAACGCATTTTTTACTAAATTCTTTTTTTAAACTTGCAAAGACAAGATATAATTAATCCAAAATATAATCAATCAATCTGATGATTAACTCAACCATTAATCAATAAGTCGATCAATTAATTATTAAATAATTAATTATTTAATTGATGAGAAACTCTATAAACTTACAAAAAAATGTCCTAAACACCTTTTTAGGATACAATCTTTTATCATGTATCTGACAGATACATATCTAGCACACACATATATACACGACCCAGAAACATATATCTATATCACATCCGTACATATATAGATAATATCCATATATACATCTATAGTATCATTCAATCAAAATAAAATATCAAGTAAACATGAATATATATATTATATATACATATATTTAACACTAATACAACTCATTGAAATTAATTAGGTACTATTGTTGGCATTGGGTATTGATTTAACCTAACTTGGAAAAAATTGCAGAAAATAAAAACAAAGAAATAATACAAGTTACATAACATAGCAATGATAACGGCACATACATACAACATAGATAATGAAAGTCATATTCGCTACGTACATAGATGGAAGATAACTAATTGGATGTCGAACATCGAGTTAGCAACCAACCCTCTCCCATTACTTGAATAAATAAGCACAGTTAGTGGGCAAAGTTTAAAAATTTTCATCAGTCACAGAATGTAAAATTGAACTTGTTACATATGAACAACACAACATAGTATAATAAACAGCAATTGTACAGTATCTTCTCATAAAATTCAACTATATAAAAGAGCTATTCTAATATTTATAATGTAATTGTCGAAAACAGTTATTTAAATATTCACATTACAATTACATTACAAATTACTATCGATCAATCTGCCCGATCAAATCAAAGATCTCAGTTCTCAGAAGAAATTAACCAACCATTTAATGACCTAGAACCAAATAAAAAAACACTACAATTATTAAACCAAAATTTTGATCATCGAGCCATCCAGCCAACAGAACAGACTCCACTACATCAATGACACCCAACCAATCTTGTCAAAGACTTTGTCTTCTAACCCAGCCAGCCAAATAAACTAAATGTTAATCATTTGCTTTACAACTTTACATGAATCCAAACCTACCTAATTATAGGCCCCAACCAATCAACCAGCCAATCAAAATCAAACGAAACCACAACATATCAAACGACAGAACGTTATTTGGAGCTGGTGTACTTAGTGACTGCCTTGGTCCCCTCACTGACGGCGTGCTTGGCTAACTCCCCGGGCAGCAACAGCCGGACCGCCGTTTGTATTTCACGGCTCGTAATTGTAGAACGCCTGTTGTAGTGGGCCAGTCTCGAGGCTTCGGCGGCAATTCTCTCGAAGATATCGTTCACAAAAGAATTCATTATCGACATGGCCTTGCTGCTGATTCCAGTATCCGGATGAACTTGTTTCAAGACCTTGTAGATGTAGATGGCGTAACTCTCCTTTCGTTTGCGCTTGTGCTTCTTGTCGCCGGTGCGCACGGCCTTCGCCTTGCTGGCCGCCTTTTTCGCGCCTTTACTTGCCGGTTTTGGGGGCATTTTTCAGTTTAACCGATGCCTTTTAAAATATTGTGCTTAAAAAAAACTGTAATTTAAGTTAGGAATTAGTGTAGAAAATGTTTTAAAAGTCGAGTAAAATGTTTTTAGAACGATTTAGCGTGAAATAATCTACTTCTCGAGCACAACAACCGCAAAACAGCACAGAACTAGAATTCCGGACGATAAAATGCATTCGAAAATTTTCTTTATATACAAGAAATCTTTACAATAATCACGTGATTAAGTTACTAACCACTCTGGACCAATCAGAGGCCAAATATTTTCTTTGTCGGTTAGGTTTTCAGGGATAGGCCGTTGTAAATTAATTTTTAAAACGACATATGTTTAATTTTAAAATTTATATTAGACGATAATTTTAATTATTTTTTTAAAACAAGATTCAGTAAATTACATTTTTCTATATTCCAACAAAAACTTGTTACTACATGCCTACGTTCATGTTCAATACCTATACTATTCGTTACTTTTAAAACTTCATAATCATATTTCTTAATTTTGTATATACTCGGATAGCCATACTTGCATGTATATTCTAGTTTATTATTTTATAATTTCAATCTTTATTACGTCCGTTTTTCGTCCTTTATTATATAAAATCCACATAACTAGAATAAAAATACAATATTCGAAATAATTTAGTATCTGAATTCACTTTTAACCATTAACCACAGGTTCTTAACTTTGCTAACTTTCACAACGTAAGCTAAATCCGTACGTTTTGTCGTATCCACCAAAGTAATTATTGAATTGTTAATTAATTAATTATTCATAATTAAATTTAATTATTTATTTTCTGTACATTTTATAACATTTTCATTAAATTTAGGTCCGAATGATGGCTTTAAACGACCGGAACAATATTCCCTGTCCACCAAGTCCAAATGACATTTGAAAAGAGAATTTTCACAAATTATGGTGCTACTATAGAAAAAATTTATAAATATATAATATATTTATATATATACCTGTATATATAACATATATTATATAAAGTGTGGTTCAAATATTATGATTAGTATTTATATTATTACATCTGGGGCTGATCCAATACTTAGAAGATTTCCTACACTTAATTTTAATTATATATATATATGTATGTAGCAGACCAGTCAGTCATCTCTGTATCTTGTTCAACTTTTGTTTTGATTGTTTCATTTATTTGAGACTAAAATTGTACTGTTTAATTTTATTCATGTTGTATAATTTAGGTACTAATTTAAATTTATGTTTAAATATTTTTCAACTATTATTTAATTAGTAAAAATTTCAAAGTGAATGAAATACATATAATCCCCAAAAGAAAAAACTTTAACAGAATGGACCGGGATAAGCCAGAGAACTCTACTGTAAATAGAATCTATCAAATTAGGAAAGTTAGGAGAAACCACAATCACCACTACTACAACTTAACAAACAGCAACAACCACGGCAAAAGAACCAGAGGTAAAAGTGAACAAAATGCCCCTAAAAATTTGCCTAATTTTAGTGAGAGTGACCTCTTAGTGATGAGGCTGGTAAACGACGCCAGGGAGATAGTGATAGATAGAAGAGTGGAGGAAATGCAAAGAATAAATAGAGAGATTGAAAAAAAATATGCCGTTAGTTAGTTGTTAGTTTGGCAGTTAGGTGCACCCCTGGTCTGCTTGCTGCTAGCTAGCTTGCTAGAATCGTTGTTGTTGTTGTTGTTGAGATGCGTTTTTAACGGCGTTTCAGCACATTGCTAGAATCAATTTTTAAAATTTGTCACACGAGTAAAAGTTAATTCTAATATAAAATTTATCTGAAGAGTTTAATTTAACAACTAACATGCATGTTTTTAGTCATATTTACCTCAATTTTCTTTCTATGGTTATATATATATATATATTTACAATATTCTATAAAAATTATGGTCTATTGCCAATATATGTATGTATATATATATATATATGTATATATATGACTGGGTCTGTTTAATTTAATGATTTATGTTCTATATGTTTTAATCATCTAACAAGTTTAAATTATGATGATGATAGTAGTAATAAAGATTGTCATGATGATGGTGAGAGTATTTATGATGAGGAAGAAGATGTTGATTGTTGGTGTTTTTTTTACTGTTTGCTTCATTTGTTTGTTTGTCTGTTTGTTTGTTTGTTTGCTTGGTTGTTCGTTCGTTTGTTTGTTGGTATATTTAGGCAGTTTTTAATTTTCAACACTTTAATAGAGGATAGTTTTTTCAGTTCATATTTATGCGTGTGTGGGAGTGTATATGTGTGTGAGCGTGTATATGTTTGTATGTGTATAATATGTAAAGAAAACAGTGCTGGCAGTCACTTGTGTGTATTGCTGTGATCAATCACTCGTTTGTTCAATGGTTAAAATCGTTAGAATGCAGCAGAATAACTAATCGACAGGTAAACCACGGAATGAAGCCAACCGTCAATAATTAAGCTTCTCTCGTCAGATGTTTCTTGGCCGTAAATCCTCTGTGGTAGTCGCTTCTCGGAAGATTATCGTAACTCACTGGCAAACCGCTGTGGAATTTTTCCACGGATGTTATTGCTAATTTGCTTGCAATTCGCACGCGAAACTTCTCCGCGATGACATGCTCTCTTCATCTGCTCGAAACTTCTTCTGGCCTCTTCTTAATTCTCCCTCTTCTTTTCTTCGTGTTGTTCTTTCTTCTCTGCTTCTTCGTCGTTCATATAGCTACCGATCTGCTTGTGAACGTGCCGCATAAGAGTGTCCCGTCCCATAAATGAATTTACAACCTTTAAATCACTTTACAACCTTTTAATCACTTTACAACCTTTTAATCACTTTACAACCTTTTAATTATTTCACAAGCGGTTCATCATTCTCCAATGCATGCTTAACAACTTCTAACTGGTAGTTTTTTTTCTATCTCGATCCCACGTCTGTAACATTATGTAAGCACTCTTCACATGGTTTTTTTCACATGTGCATGTTCATTGCTTTAATGTGCCATTGCTTTATGACGTTGTTGATGCTGATAATAATATTATTTATAATAATATTATTAATAATGATAATAATAATATTATTTGTAATAATAATAATAATTATTATTATTGTTTTTATTTATTATTATTATCGTAATTGATAATAATTTTCATAAATTTCAACATTGATAGGAGGCCGAAAGGGACAAGATGATGGCTGCTGGGATGAAGATAAAGGATGATGATGTTGATGATGATGATAATAAGGTGATGATGATGATGATGGCGACAGTGATGACGACGACGACGATGATGATGATAATTTTTTTTAATTACTTTTGTATTCATTCATTCGTTGGTTAGTTCATTCATTCATTCATTCATTCATGCATTCATTCATTCATTTTTTCATTCATTCATTCATTCGTCTCTTCATTCATTCATTCGTCTCTTCATTCATTTTTTCATTTGTTCGTTCATTCATTCCATTCGTTCATTCATTCCAAAATTCTTTGCATTTTTCAATTTTTACCTGTACAAACATTTTAAACATTCTGTTTGTTATGTAACTGTTAGTGTATGTTTATTACTATTATTATTACTATTATTATTGTTATTATTATCATTGTTATTATTAGTTAATTATTTCATTTCTTATCGTTGTCAGAATTCTCAGGCGAGACCACAACAACAACAACGCCATCATCATCAGCACCAACAACGCAACAATTATCATCATAACAATGACGGTTATGATGATAATTGTGATGGTGATCGTCATCATCATCAACATCAGCAAAAGAGAGGTGGATACAGGGGGAGAGGAACATATAGAGTAAGTGGAAGATGATGATGATGATGATGATGGCGATGATGATGATGACGACGATGATGATGATCGCGATGATGATGATGGTGATAATTCGATTTTAAGTTTTAACATTTTTCATAAAGGCTATCAGAGGTGGCAATCATCATCATCAACAACAGCATCATTATCAACAACAACATCAACAACATCAACCACAACAACATCAACAACAACATCAACCACAACAGCAACATAGATTCCAAAAAATGGTACCTAACTTGCTGAACGAAGGTTGTTTTGTATTATTATGATTATTGTAGTTGTAGTAGTAGTAGTAGTAGTAGTTGTTGTTTTGTTGTTGTTTTGTTCGACCTATCTTTTGTGATTTCATTACCAATTGAAGCTCAAGATCGCACATGGTGTAGTTGGCTTTGGTTTTAGCTGGAAGATTTGCCGCTGACACATATTTTTCAGCGATAAATCTTTTCCAAATTCTGATGGAGAAAAGCACTGCTATCATCATTTTAATTAATATTATTATCATTTTAATTATTATCATTATTATTGTTATTATGATTATTGTTATTATTATTATTATTATTATTACTCAATAGTATTTGCAGATAAAAACAGTAGTAGTGCTACTACTACAATGACGACGAAAAAACATCAGCAACAACATCAACAACAGCAACAACATCAACAGCAACAACAGCAACAACATCAACAACAACAACATCTACAACAACAATATCAACAACAACATCAACAACAACAACATCAACAACATCATCATCATTACCTGAAAGTTCTGACGGTATCGTCATCATCACCTCACTCGTCATTATCTGCGTCATCATCAGCATCATCATCCAGAAGCGTCTTCATTGATGATGATACTGACAAGCTGATCATTAAAATTAATCTCAACCAGCCAACAACAACAACATTACCGTCATCATTACCCCCACCACCACCATCATCATCATCAGCACCTCCGCTATTTTCATCATCATCATCAGCACCTACGGCAATGCAATCATTATCAGCATTGCCATCATCTTCGTCGTCGTCTTTTTCATCAACTAATGACTTGGATAGGTAAATTTTAAAATGGGGAACGTTGTTGTTGATGTTGTTGTTGTTTATCTTGATGATGATGATGATGATGACGATGCAAGTGATGATGATGATAGTAATGATGAGGGTAATGATAATGATGATGGTGATGATAATGATGGTGACGATGATGGCGAAGTTGATCGCTACAAATGTTGATTCTTCCTCATCTATCAGGCATAAAAGGTCTCAACGACAACAACAACAACAACATTACAAGCAACAACAACTGCCCCACCATCATCATCATCAAGCAGATCATTATCATAACTCCAGCAACAATCCCGATAACAATAATAATAATAATTATAATAATAATAATAACAATAATACTAATAATGATGATGATGATAAGAAGAAGAATAATAATGCTAAGTTTAGAAGGGATAGAGTCTTCAGTAACAACAATAAAAATACTAATTACAACGCTAATGGTAAAGACAAAACAACAACAACAACTACTACTACTACTAAAGTTAATAATAATAATAATAAAAATAATAATGATGATGGTAATAGCAGTAGTAATATGACTACTTCTGCTACTACTACTACTACTGCTACTACTGCTACTGCTACTACCGCTACTACTACTACTACTACTACTACTACTACTAAAGTTAGTAATAATAATACGAATAACAACAGCAACAAAATGTTTGGCAGAGGTGCATCTAGAAACTACAGAACTAATAGAAATAATATCAATAATAATAATAATAATAACAATAAGAATAATAATAATAAGAATAATAATAACGTCAAATTTGGTAGTGGTAGGTTCAATGGTAAAAGTGCTAGCAAGTCGAGAATAAAAGAGGATTACAACAACAACAACAACAACAATAATAATAATAATAATAATAATAATGATAATAATAATGATAATAATAATAATAATAATAATGAAGAGGAGAATTGGGACTGCGATTTCTACGCTCTTGATAATAGTAATGATAATAATAATATTAATGCTACTACTGCTGCTGCTGCTGCTACTACTGCTGCTTCTACTACTACTGCTGCTGCTGCTGCTACTACTACTGCTGCTGCTGCTACTTCTACTACTACTATTATTACCGATAGTAACGTTACTATTTCTGCTACTAAAGATAATAGAAAAAACGGTGATATGAATAACATTGACGACGACGATAATGATGATATAGAAAATTGGGATGATGGTGATGATGACGATGAAGAAGGAGGTGTTGATGATGATGACGAGCGTTGTGGTGGTGATGATGATGGTGGAAAGTATGATGATGATGGTGATGAGTATGATGACTATTTCGACGATGCTTATTATAATGATTACAGAAACGCACCTAATGTTGTCAGCAATAATACTACTACAGCTGCTACTACTACTGCTACTTCTGCTACTACTACTACTACTGCTACTACTACTACTTATGAAAATAATGATGATGATAATAGTACTAATAAAAATACTATTGATCCAGCGAACTTAAGTGATGTTACCCAGCAAGAAAATTCATCAAACGAAACTGAAGTTACCCAGCAGCAGCAGCTAGAGCAGCTGCACAAGCAAGAAAGTGGGGTTCATAATGATGCTAATGAAGCGCTAAAAAATGATGATGTCCTGTCGATGGCGGCAAAAAATGAACAGGGTAATCATTTAACTGGTAAGATTGTTACAGAAATTGATCAGAATTTGCCAGAAACCAGTCGAGATTTGCCGGAAATTGGTCAAGATTTGCCGGAAGAAGGTCAAGTTTTGTCAAATAAAGGTCAAGATTTTCCGGAAGAAGGTCAAGTTTTGTCAAATAAAGATCAAGATTTGCCGGAGGCATGTCAAGATTTGTCGAAATCGGGCCAAGATTTGTTGAAAATTGGTGAAGAAATCTCGAAATAAGTTAACAATTACCGTAGCAAGATCTATATTTATCAATACTGCTTTGACAAAGACTGACTATAAGTTGAAGTTTATGAATATATATTTAAGTTAGACAAACTTATATACATATATATATATATATATATATATATATATATATATATATATATATATATATATATATATATACATTTCACACACATACATACAGACGTACACATACATGCAGACGTACACACTTTTGTTATGCTATTTTGCCTTGAGTTACATATACACACGTTTCTTTTTAAATTTGCTAATTCGGTGTTAGATCATTTTTTTAATTTATAACAATTATTATTTATATATATATATATACATTATATAAAATATGGTCTTTTCCCAACACACATATATATGTATGTGTGTGATTTGGTTCGTTTGTATTTATAAAATCCCTAATTTAATTTATACTTTTTTGGGTGTAATTGCATCGAATGTTTAGCCAAAATTTGACGTTCAGCTTCGGCCTTTTTGAAAAGCCGATTATTCTAATTTCCTCTTGAGCCACCAATTTGTTGGATTCTCGAACAATAATTGATGATAAGCATCAGTGAGAAAATTATTTTTGCCCATCACAGCTGTTGGAACATCAGATTTTCAATCAACTCTATCAGATTTTCAATTGAATACTATCTCGATGAAGATAGACAATGCACTCATATATATACACTACATATTTATGAATTCATATTTAGGTTATATAAGCGTGTATATATATATATATATATGTATATATATATATCTTAGACAATGTACTCATATATATACACTACATGTTTATGAATTCATATTTAGGTTATACAAACGTGTGTATATATATATATATATATATATATATATACATTCACATACATATACACGTACGTACACATACATACACACCTAAATATAGAGACATTATGTGTGTTGGAAAGACAGGAACCTTTTGTACTGTTACTTTCAATAGCTTGATTTTCCTTCTAAAACAGGGATGGGCAAACTTTTTGCTGTAAGGGCCGCATTGAGAACTGTTTTACCTTTGAAGGGCCGCATATGTACTTGAATAGCGAATTTTTTCGACCCGGGGGAAATTTTTTTAAGATTTGTGACTCACTTTTTTGGTCAATGTCTGAAGTTTGCCTACCCCTGATTTTTTTTTATAAGATTTGTCGGTTTTTTGGTATTCAGCTCTTAGCTTCGGCCGAATGTTGGATCAACTATCAATCACGCTGTTCGGGTGGTCGCTACTATTTATAAGTTCTCATTCTATAAGTTGTTTGGTTTTTGTTCTGTTTCATTTTAAAGTTAAATTGTTTTAATTTGTATTTACTCATTCTGTTATTCATTTAATCTTTCTTTCTTTTATATATTCATTCATTCGCTCATTCATATTTGTTTTGTTCTTCTTATGATGTTGCCTTCTTGGGATTGCATAAAAAAAGTTTAACGTAACTTTACATACAATCGATAAACAAATGAATAAATGAATGAGTGAGTGAACAAATGAATGAAGGAAAGAACTAGCTAAAGAATGAATGAAGGAAGGAACGAACGAGTGAATGAATGAATAAATAGCCAATTACCTAATAAAATTGTACACATAATAACGGTTGACTTCTAATGTAACTGATCATGAAAATTCTTTTGTTGGGAAACATTATTCATTCGCTTATTCCTTTACTTATTTATTCTTTCTTTCTTTCATACATACATTCATTTTATTTATTTATTTAACAAATTTATTTTAATTATTTTGGTTTGTTGGAATTAATTTTTTAAATTTTTGATCAATAAAAGTTACACGATTTTATTTTTCTAAAAAATGAAATAAATACAAATTCATCATTAACAATATTCTCAATCAATCAACCAATCAATCAATTAACCAATAACTCAATTAACCATCATCATCATTTTCATAATGGTTATCATCATCACAATCAGCATCGTCATCATTCTCTTCATCTCCTAAATTTCAAATTGGATCTTGCAGGGCTTAAGGTTAGTAAGTGGGACTATAAATAGCCGGGAATTCCACCCATCATCATCCACACAGTCCTCATCATCGCCATCATATTCTTCCTAATTCTAATCCTTACTGATCCCAATTCCTAAATCTTGAGCCGGATCCTGTTGATGAGAAGGACGATGGGTAGCCAGGAATTTCTGAGCTGCAGTTTGGGATTTAGCGGGTTGAAGTCACATCTCTCTAGGGACTTCAGATAGAGGTTAATCGGTGTCTGGATTGAGTGAGTGAATGAATGAATGATAAATTTAATGAATGAATGAATGAACGAATGAATGAGGGAATGAAACGTACGGACGAAAGAAAGATGATCTTCGCCTCTTTTGGCAACCTATTCCAATGCTTCCTAACCTTCAACAAACATTCTCAATATATACAACAATCTACAATTTTTATGTTAAAATACATAATGAACATAAAAACAATAAAAAATAATAACAATAATAATAATAAGGAAAAAACTTTATTATCATTACCTTTTCCATGTGTTCATTGGCTTTGGTTGCTAGCTCAAATGCAACTTCTTCCAGTTTAGTATTTTTAACACTGCTTCTACCATTACTACTACTACTATTACTTCTACTACTACTACTACTAATAGTTTTATTATTACTGTTATCATTATTATTAATGTTAGTAGGGGTAGTAGTATTTCTGTTTCTTAAAACAACTTCTTGTGGAGTCACGCCGTGCTAGAGAGAATAGAGAAAGAGAAAAAGAGAGAGAGAATAAAAAAGAAAGAAATTAAATTGGTTAATATTTATATACTTTTCAATTAGTCATTATTACCATCCCCATCATCATCATCACCACCGCCATCATCACAACCACCACCGCCATCATCATCACCACTGTCATCTCTATCATTATCATCACCTTCATCATTAGACTGACGGGGATGTAAACGATATTTTTAGCTGCGTTATGGGGTATGGCTCTCAGAAGTGTTATTATTCCTTGGGCTTTTCCAAGATGGCCGACTGCTCGATTCAGGATGACGTCATCGTGATTATTATCATCATCGTCATCTTTGTGATTATTATCATCATCGTCATTTGCAGTGTTGGGGCTGGTAGCGATGCCTACAATGATGGCGATAGCGATGATGATGAAGATGACTCTGATATAAGTAAAAGGAAAGAAATCCAATTATCAACCGACAGATAAATCATTTATTCATTAAATCATTCGTTCGTTCGTTCGTTCGTTCGTTCACTCAATCAATCATTCACTCAATCAATCAGCCGTCATTCAACCAACCAACCACATAACTGGAGTATCAGAGAATAAGTGGATGAATGAATGTTCTCACTCACTCTCTCCAGCTCAGCTATGTTAGAAAATGGTATATCAGAACGAATTTGGCTTTCCTGTATGTTTGTTTGTTTGTTTGTATTCATGTATGTATGTATGTATGTATGTATGTATGTATGTATGCATGCATGCATGCATGTATGTATGTATGTATGTATGTATGTATGTATGCATGTATGTATGTACATCATACCCTTGCTCTGAGAATTCTGTCAAACAATGCCCTGGACAAATCATGTCTCTTTATCAGCTAGGAAAAATAATAATTATAATTTATTATTTTTCGTATTAATTAATTATCATCCTATTCCTCATCATCATCCCCATCATCATCGTCATCATCACCTTGTTCAGTTCAGTTACAACAGGAGATGAAGGAATCACACGATCCTGTCTTCACCATGAAAGAATGAATGATTATTATTATTACTAACATAATTACGATTATAATCATAATTAATATGATTATTACTATTATTATCATTATTATGATGACCTCGTAGATGTTATTTATAGCGTCCTTCCAGAACTGCAATCTCATTCGACCAATCTGACGATCTGAGACGAGGTCTCGAATCTAAAAATAAAAGCCTTTCTTTTAGGTCTTTATATTATCATTGCCATAAGTATCATCATCGTCGTCGTCATCATCATTAAATCATAACTATTATTACCATATAACTACAACATCATCATCATCACCATAATTGTCCCATCATTATCATCATCACATCATCATCATCATGATCACTGACCTGGGACAATTCAACCTGAAGTGCTCTTAAAACGAAAGCCCCGTCTCTCTGCCTATCTCTCAAGAGAAGCGTGGACAAGTAACTTTCATAATCACATTTCCTTTCATTTTTAAAAAAACCAAATAAATATAATTTATTTAATTAATTAAATTAAATTAATTTATTATTTAATTAATTGTAATCATTTAGTAGTTAGATTTAGTTAGTAAATATATAATATAATTATAATAACAATATAATTAGTTCATCCCATTTCAACTACTACAAAGCGTTAAAATTAATTAAATAACATAAAATTATTTTTACATTTTAACATTAAATTAAATTAAATTATTAAATTTAAATAATTGTTAATTAATAATTGAATAGTTTGAAAAAAATTTGCAAATGCTCACTTCACGAGATTGAGGCAATAATTTAAATTATTATTATTACTTAAATTTCTCCAAACATTTTTTAAAGTTTTATAAATGACTTTTCTGCCTAATAGTACGCCTAAATTAGGATTTTTTAGGAAAAACATTTATATCGGAATAGTGGAGAAGCGATAATAAGGATTTTAAACAAACGAAACTTTAATTTGGACTTTTACGGTAAAAAAAATATGTGTTGAGGATCTTTGCTCAATTTCAACCTAAAATATTCAAACATAATGTCATTTTTATTACACAAAATTTATAAAATTAAATAGTATTAAATAAGATATTTGTAATAATTTGTACAAAAACAAACTTTTTTATTTAAAAGTTTGTTAATTACCACCTCCAAAATACACTTAAATGTTTTAAATAATTGTAGTTATCATAAATTCAATTTTTAATTACATTTAATGTTTTTATTTTGCCACTTGAAACAGCAAAAATATGTTAATATTGTCTGAAATCCAGACAAAAAATGCAATGTTTTATTTTAATTCCAAATTCACTACAAAAGCATCATTAAATTAACTAAATAAAGTTAAATTTTAATTGAAGAAAACTATTTCTAATATAATTAACAATTTTTCACATATAGTCATTGAACAGTTAAAGATTAACCAGAGTATGTATTATACTGTACATATACGTACAGTAGAACCAAAACGTCATATTTTGTAGAATAAAAAAAATAGGAAATCCAAAATCAATACAAGTTTCGAACGATAGCTTCTAATAAGTCGATAATTAAATGTTATTATGGAAGGTTACAGGAACAAACTGACTTGAAACTTCTGCCATTAAGTTTGTCTAAGCCTAGCCTATGACAATCAGCTCATAAATTCATTTAAAAAGGCTAAAATTGACCCATTCCGATCTTATATTCATTTGACTAACCGACTTCGATTCGCTAAAGCGACTCTATAAATAGTTACCGTCGCTAAGAATTTCTAGTTTTCATTCTCTACCGTCAAATCATCTTTCGCAAATTAGCTGGAGAGCAGAATAAAATGAAATTCTTCCATACTTGAGTCAGGTCGAGACGTGTGGAATAATAAGGGAGGGAGAGAGAGAGAGAGAGAGAGAGAGAAGAGAGAGAGAGAAGAGAGAGAGAGGAAAAATTGTGAAAAATATTGGGACTTGCATCGGAGAGAGGAGTGAAATATTGTAGAATGAACCCGTCCAGTGCAAGGAAACATTCAGATTCGAGACTCGAAACAAGGCAGTCGAGGGCTAAAACTTTGGTGAGAGTTTAAAATATTTACTGCTCCAAATCTCTTACCTCAATTCATATAATAATAATTTCAAAGTTATTATGCCGTAATTTCAATTGCAAATGTTAAATCTCACTCGTCAATGGCGCATATTTTGATTCTGAATATTTTAACAACGAAAGTTTTTTTTTTAATAATTTAGAACGCCTCGCCAAACGCTACAGATTCTCTGCTGAGTGGCCACAACACGAGTGCGTCGACGACTCGAAAGCGGAAGATCGATTCTTGCGAGTCAGTGACGACAGTGGTCGTGTCGACGTTGGATGCAGATAGCAGCGGAGGCGATGGTAACAGCTCAACCACCTCCATCCATCAGTCCACACAGGCGAAATTCAGCAAGCATGACGAACTGACCAGCCAGCAATTAGCCGTAGGATCGCCATCATCATCCTCATCTTCCTCGCAAGACGACTACACGCTACTGAACGCTCTGATGATGAGCGCCGATGACGAATTCAGTTCTTGCTGTTGCGGAGCTTGCTCACTTTCCAGTTCCGGAGCAGCCAGCCATCAGACGCACCACAGATATTTCAACGAGGGACTCGGAGATCAAAGAACTCGCTGCCCGGGTATCCATCGTTACGAGGTCTACGTTTCGGATTCCAGCGCGATCGGTCAGTCGCAATCGCAGGCACATCCCTTCCAGCTTCGAATGAGCAATTCCAGTTTGACCAACCTTGCCGGACATAATCAGTTTGCTCAGTCTACGAACAGTTATAAGTTTACAGTCAACAGTGCAGAGTTTTTCAATTCGATTTTCAATGGAAAGAATGGAAAACATGGCGGCCCAACGTACCCCTTTTCCAATCAGAGTAATTTTTTAGCAGCTGGAAATGCTTTCTGGAAAAATCAGAAAGTTGCCGTCCGTCGGTTTGCTTTTGAATGCGAGCTCGGCGACAAATGGATCGAAAACCCGAACCGCAGATCGTGCAAACTCTTCAGGGCCATGAATAAAAATATCAGTGGCATCAACCAGGTCTGCACAATAATTCTTTCTGGTTATTAATTCATCCTTTATAATTCATTCTTTATAATTCATCTTAATAATTCATTCTTAACAATGCACGTAAACTTATTCAATGTACAACGTGAATAATAAAATAATGATAAAATTTGGGAAGGTTATGGACAAACTGGACATGCAAGGAGTGAAACTGACCAGCCTGCTATCTAGCGGCAAATTCAGTCACGTGTTTGTCGGCCAGCTGTTCACTTTCCGACACAAGGTGGCAGTGAAGATCCACGAAACTAAACTGAGGTGTCACACCCCTAAATCTACGTCATCGGCAACAGCCAATCAGAAATCAGCTACCCTCAACGCTATCCGGGCATCCAATCAGCTGATGACCAAAATTTTTGCAACGTCACAAAGTTACCATCAAAAAACAGAGTCACTGCCCGAGGAGGTGATAGTAATAGTTTTTACTCTCTCGCCCACACACACACCTACACACACACACACCACACACACACACAAATGACATCTGTATATGTGCTTATTATTCTCTCTCGCCCACACACACACCTACACACACACACACCACACACACACACAAATGACATCTGTATATGTGCTTATTATTATTATTTGTGTTATAACTGACCCCTTGAACTTGTAAATTATCAAATTAATCCAAATAGCTACATAAACCAGATTTACAACTTCGCGTCAAATCTCACTTCTATGTCAACTGTATTCCGTCTTCTTTCCTTGTTCTCTTCTCTTTCGTTGTTCCTTTCTGGAACCTCTCCTCTTTACATAGCTACCGACCTGCTTGAAAATGTGCCACATAAGAGTGTCACGTCCCATAAATGTATTTACAACCTTTTAATCACTTTACAACCTTCTAATTAATTCACAAGCGATTCATCATTCCTCATTGCATGCTTAACAATTTCTAACTATTAGTTTTTATCTCGATCCCACGTCTGTAGCATTGTTCATCCTGTCTGCATTTAAATATGTCCAATTATAAAAATTATCTCCTGGACCATCTGTAACGATACCTTCATGGAAAATTATTTGTAATTATTAAAAATAATAATTATAATAATTATGATGATAATTATGTTTGTTGTTGCATCCGTTAATTAAATTATTAATAACGGTTTTTTCTGTAAAATTTTGACAATTTAGTTTAGTAGGCTTCAAATGGAAACATAATCGCAATATTATCATCATCGATTATACATTCTCTCGTTCATTCATTCGTTCGTTCGTTCGTACGTTCATTCATTCATTCATTCATTCATTCATTCATAAGTTTATCCATTTATTCATTCATCCACTTATTCACTCACTCACTCATCCACACAAAAACTAACCCCAGATAGCTTTGCACCGGATATTACGTCACAAAAACGTCATCCAACTGCTGTACGTAGAGCAGATCGACCAGCACTACGTTTCTCTAATGGAACTTTGCGACTACGGAAATCTGCAGCAGATGCTGAGAGCCAGTCCTGGCAGCGTATTGGCCGAACCGATTTGTCGCCGATACTTCAGAGATATGCTGGAGGGAGTGGCCTACTTACATTCACAAAATATAGTCCATAGAGACATCAGGTTTGTCTGTGTGGAGGTGCTATTTGTTGTGTGCCGAGTACCGTGTCTTGTCTTTTCCAATGGATATTGTTTTAACTTTCTCTGTGCTAGGCTGTTAGTGAAAATTCTTAGCTTGTATTTGAACGTAAGTTAAATAGTAATCTAAATGACTGAATCTTTAAAAAATGTTTTCTCTTATTTGTTTTATTTTCATCTAGTAGACAACATCTTGACATTGAAAATGTTTTTTGTTATAAATCTGTGTGGTAGAAGAATTCATCAGCACGCCGCTAAACTGAAATTTCAGATGCGAAAATTTCTTAGTAGACCACCACGACTGCGTGAAACTCTGCGATCTAAGTTGCGCAACACGGTTCTGCAACGGCGACGAACTGCAGACGACTTCCTACGCAAATTCCGCCTACCTCTCACCTGAAATCATCGAGAACAAGCCATTCAACCCGAGAACAGCTGACGTTTGGGCTCTGGGGGTATGTCTTCACGTGCTACTAACCAGTAAGCTGCCGTTCACTGCTTCCATCTGCTTGACGGTTCCTACAGCCACTGTAGCCTCGACAGTAACGACACCTCATAGTTCCTACGCCTCTGTTCCACCTATTCATACTTCGATTTCTGCTAACGCGGCTATCGCTATGAGCAATCAGTTGGGCTCTAGCGTGGTTGCGGTTGCTAACTCGGCCACAGCCGCCATCACTACATCGGCAGCCGTTAATCGAAACAGCGCTGGAGGGAATGTCCATTCAGCATCCTCAAATGACGCCACCAATCAAAACAACAGCCCTTCAAATTTCCCAACTGGAAATGTACCTCAGACCGTCTCGGCTGATATGATTACCGACGATGCCGTGAACGATTCCGTCAGTTTATCGTCCAATACTTTCGAAATTCCCGGTTCGGCTCAAAATTCAGAGGTCAAGGATCTGGGGTCAAAGAGCAACCAACAGACTGCCACCACCACCACCGCCATTACCCTGCCGCAGTTGGATCACGTCGAAATCGAGCCACTGATCTTGATGAAGAGGGGTGTTGACCTGAAGGTTGTCGCCCCTTCTGTTATAATATCGGCCGAGGCAGTTGAACTCTTGAAAGGGCTTCTTCATTACGTCATAAAAGTGGGTGGAGTTTATGAAATTTATAATTATTTTGATTGGTTTACATCTGACCAATAGCGAGCGTCAAAACAAAATTTATTAGTCATTTATTGATAATTTGATTAGCTTTGTAATCTACTAGTCTACAGCAATGAAATTAATAATTAACAAACCACACGCACGCACACACACGCACACATACACAAATACGCACACACACACACACACACACACACACGTACACAGGTTAGGTACAGTTTGAATAGAGTGCGTTCGTCATCCTGGCTAAAAGATCCTGAATTAAATTTAGAGAATAACATCAGTAGCAAACCCTACATAGGCAATCACTACATGGTCTCGAACCAATTGAAGTATGCTTCAAGCCTTAAGGAGAAAGAATTGAAGGAAGCTTTCGAAATTTGAGTTTTTGATTGGCTGGTTGGCTGGCTGGTTGGCTTATTGATGGATGGTTGGTTGGTTGGTTGACAGCTAGATAGATGAATGGATAGATAGATCGATGGATGGATGAACGAAGGGATGAATAAATGAGTGAATAGATAGAGAGCTTTAGGCCGTATAGTTGAATTAATTGGTAAGTAAGACACTTTTGTTTAATTATTTAATGAATGTGGGGATGAAACTTATAAATACCTCAGCCATTAAGTTCAAGGTTTAAGTAACATAGATTATTTGCCTGACCGACCGACTGACAAACAACTGTGAAGAAAATGATTGAACTGATAGGTAGATCGAGGAATCAACTGGTAAATGAATGAAATCCGTTTAGTGGATGGATAGATCAACACACAAACAAAAACTTGTATAAAAATTTATAATTAGGTCGAGTTAATAATTGAACGAATGACAGAACGATGAGTGATTGACTGACTGACTGACTGACTGACTGACTGAATGAATGAATGAATGAATGAATGAATGAACGAACGAACGAACAAATGAGTGAATGAATGAATTTTCAAAAACAGAAGATATATAAAATTAGGCCTGAAGCGATTCAACTGAACTGAAAATAATTCAAATAGTTCTGTATGTATGTGTGTGTGTATGTATATGTGTGCGTGTGTTTGTGTGCGCGCGTGTGTATGTGTGCGCGCGTGTGTATTATTGCTACTAATGTATTGTATTTAGCAACTAAATAAGTTAAAAAAATAGAAAAATATTTTTTGTAAATTTCTGACCGCCACTGCTGCTATACTATTAATACTGCTACTACTACAAATATTAATAATAATAATAGTAATAATAATAATGATGATGATAATAATAATAATAATAATCTAGTTTTGGTTAATGAGATTCTTTTTTAAATAGAATTTTTTCGTTTCGTTTCGAAATTTTTTTTTCAAAAGCGAAATTTTTATTCATTGATACTTTTTTGAAATGTTTGGGCGTAAAAATTAAATTAATAAATGAATAATGGTTTAATTAATTGATCAATTAACCAATTAATTAATTAATTAAATTCATGCACATTTTTTCCAATTTATTTTTTTCATTTATTTTCAGTCCATCTTTCTTTTTTTCATATTTTAAAATATTTTCAATTTTAGGAGAAATAAATTTATCAATCAAACTGAAAAAAAAAATTGTTTCATATTTGTTCTCAACTGACTGAGAGACAGACAGAGCGAGTTAATTAAAAAATAATTAATTGGTAAAAAGAAAAACTAATTAAAATTAAATAAAGAACAATTTGTTAAAATTAAAAAGATCAACTCCCTAGCGGGGAATCGAACCCCGACCGCGGCGGTGAGAGCGCCGAATCCTAACCATTAGACTACTAGGGACACAGTGTTTTAATAACAATTTAAAAACCAAATTTTGAATGTTAGACCAATTGTAAAAATTAAGATAATGTTAATAAATTTAGTATATTTTAACAGTTTTAATTTTTTAAAGTAATTTTTTACATGTAAAATTACTTTAAAACGTTTAAAATTACTCAAAATTACACTTCAAATGTTCGTTATAATTGAATGCACTTTTAAACGTAATCATGACCATCGCACACTTGTTGCTTCTTGTTGGATAAATATTTTAAGAACCCTTAAAGGAAGTTTTAAAAGTTTTTATAATTTAGCAGTTTTTTCCGCGGAAAAGCAAAAAGTAACGAAAAATCGATCAAAAATTAATAAAAATAATATAACTCGAAACAAAAAACAAAATGGCGGCCGCCGGAGATAGCAGATTTAAGATGAATAATAAATTGAACTTCACTGCAAGTCAGTTGCGGGGCTTAATTTCGGATCCATTCACTAAACAAAGTTTGATCAGCAAGTACCATCTGCCGGAGAAACGTAGTATCGACAGGTTCAATCTAATTTTTGCCAATTTTGTCATTTGATTTTTTTACCATTTTTTTTCCATTTTTTCAATATTTTTTGATAATTTTTAATCATTTATTAATGTTTTGTAGAGATTACTGGTTAGTCATCAGTGATGATAATAATAAAATTTAATATTTAATGTCAATCAGTGAAATAGGCCATTCCACTTGTGTCTGATCCTTTGTTCTGAGTTAAATTTTTTCATTAATAATAAAATAAAGTAAAGATTTAGAACTTTAATTAAATAATAATACATCAGCCTTCTTTGGTGATTTTAAATTATTTTTAATTCATTTCTGATTAATTATTGATATTTTGTTTAAGACAATTTAAATAAGTACTGTTTCAACAAAAAGATCCCTGCCTATCACATGCTTCATTTAGCATGTATTCATATACAATGTTTGTGGCGTGTTGTTGAATTCACTGAACTTTGGAAGGGCATAACTGACCTTGGCTTTAACCTTTAAGTTGTAATGTGTAATAATGCCTATTTTTTGTTAAAAATCTTACAGATTAAGCCAGTATCTTGAATATTATTAATGATAAGTCTATATTTTGGTGATTGTTTAGTTGATTCTCTAATTTAGGGCCTGGGAGATGTTGGATAAATTAGTGAAATTGTGCCAACACCAAAGGATGAATTTGAAACACTCCCCACCATACATTCTTGACATTCTGCCAGATATATACTTACAAATGAAACTTATACAGGTTTTTTCATTTATTCATTAGTTCATTCATTGGTTCATTCATTCGTTCAATCACTCATTCATTTATTCATTCATTCATTCATGGATACATTTATTCATTCATTCATGCATGCATTCATTCAGTCAATCATTCAGTCAATCATTCAGTCATTCATCTATTAATTTGTTTGTTTATTTACTATAATTCATTCTTCAATATTAATATGACCATTAATCTAGTTATTAACTGAAGCATAACAATAAGATAAACTGATTCTAACTTTAAATTTTTTTCAAAGTTTTATCTCACTGATTTCAAATATTTCAGGAATTTTGAATTTTTTCCAATCATCAAAACATTCCCTATTGTATAAACCTATCTTTAACTTCACATTTCATTTTAATTTCAAAACAATCATTAATTTATAATCTTTTTTAACCCACGCCTTTCCCGATGAAAGAACCATTACGGTGGAAAATGGCATGAGTTAATGGAAATCGACTACTTTGTCGTCTTCATGATCAACCTGTACGATAAGTGTGAGAAGTGCATGGAGCTCTTCTCCAATCACTCCTATAATATCTACAATGAGGACTCTATTGGAAGGCTAGTTGAGTGATTGGATGAATGAATGAATTAGTGAATGAATGAATGAATTAGTGAATAAATGAATGAATTAGTGGATAGATGAATGAATTAGTGGATAGATGAATGAATTAGTGGATAGATGAATGAATGAATGAGTTAACCAATTAGTTAATTGATGGATGAATGACTCAATGAATTTAAATATAAAATGTTTTTGATGTTGAAACGAACAAATAGTTTATTGATAGAATGAGGAATGAATGCATGGATAGTTGAATGGATGAATGAATGAATGAATTAATGGTTATTTCAATGAGTGAATGAATGAATGGATGGATGAATGAATGAATGAATGAATGAATGAATAAACCTGATGGATAGATGGATGCATAGGTTACATGTATGAAATTGTTGGCACACAAGCAATTTCAGCAATGTTGTTTTGGTGATGTGTTGAGTGATCGACTGAAGGAAAGAATATTTAAATGGATGAATGAATAAATGAATGAATGAATGAATTCTTAGATGGATGGATGGATGGATAGATGAACTATTTAATTATTATCCTTTAAATTATATTATTTATGATTGTTATGGTGAATTTTTTTTCATTAAGGGTTTTGTTGTTTTTCATTTAACTTATAATTTTGTTAGTTATTTTTCTTGGAATGAACATTAATTTTAATTTTCTTTGGCTCATGTTAATTTTTGATTTCGTTTTATTGTTTGATTTGATGTTGTTTTTTCTTGGTGGCCATATAAGCCTTTGCGCTTCTGGTCTCCGTAATAAATAAATAAATAAAAATAAATAAAATATATATCATTGTAAGGGTTACAGTATATCATGTTATATATCATTGTAAGGGTTACAATATATCATGTTATATATCATTGTAAGGGTTACAGTATATCATGTTATATATCATTGTAAGGGTTACAATATATCATGTTATATATCATTGTAAGGGTTACAATATATCATGTTATATATCATTGTAAGGGTTACAATATATCATGTTATATATCATTGTAAGGGTTACAGTATATCATGTTATATATCATTGTAAGGGTTACAATATATCATGTTATATATCATTGTAAGGGTTACAATATATCATGTTATATATCATTGTAAGGGTTACAATATATCATGTTATATATCATTGTAAGGGTTACAGTATATCATGTTATATATCATGTTATATATCATAGTTTATATCATCTGTCCTGTTGAGCAAACACTAACCAGACGCTTAAACATGCTACTTGCTGAGTGTGATTTTCAAATTGATTTTGCATCACTCAGTTTAAACTAATTCTTACTATAATTATTATTGTCATAATATATTTTCGTAATAATTCACTCAGGAATCATAATTCATAATAATTATTTATATTATATATTGATAATTCTTACTATAATTATTTTTGTCATAATATATTTTCGTAATAATTCACTCAGGAATCATAATTCATAATAATTATTTATATTATATATTGATAATTCTTACTATAATTATTATTGTCATAATATATTTTCGTAATAATTCACTCAGGAATCATAATTCATAATAATTATTTATATTATATATTAATAATTCTTACTATAATTATTATTGTCATAATATATTTTTTGTAATAATTCACTCAGGAATCTGCTGACGAGATTCTCGCTGATCTTTTCACACATGCTCGCCGAGTTGAAGGCCTTATTTCCCAGTGGCCTCTATGCCGATAATCAGTACAGAATTACGAAGAACGACGCTTCTGATTGGTGGAAGTCTGTCTTTAAAAAGAGGTTTCCGATTGGCTGAATGTTGCCTGGTTTTGATTGGTTGACCGGCGGACGGCGTGGATGCTTTTTGATTGGCTGGTGGTTGTGATAAGCGTTTTTTTTTATTGATTGTTTTTTGGTGTCAGTTTGGCTGTTTGTGATTGGTCGTCAGGCTGTTATTATCATCACCACCACAGAACTCTGGTGACGTGGAAAGAGTTCAAGTTGGCATTCAACCAGGTGCACAAGGTTGGAACGAGTAAGGAGTCAGATGCCTTGAAGACTACGCTAGACCTCTCCTGCGATGAGCATATATCCATATTTGAGTTTGATATATTTACTAGGTCGGTGTGTGTGTGCGTGTGCGTGCGTGTGTGTGTGTGTGTGTGTGTGGAGTTTTGTATTTCTCCACATCATTATCGTCGTCATCATCGTCATGTTCATCATCATCAACATTATTGTCGTCAGACTCTTCCAACCATGGCGGACCCTGCTCTGCAATTGGAATGTTCTGGCAGTGTCTCACCCTGGCTACGTGGCCTTCATGACCTACGACGAGGTCAAGGCTATGCTTGCAAAGTTCAAGGACAAACCTGGCAGGTCTCTGTTAATGTCTGTGTCTGTTTGTTATTGGATCTATCTCTGGATTTGTGTTTTTTGTTGAGCTTGTGTCTGCATAATTCATTCACCGACCTTCTCATTCATTCACCCATTCTCTCTCTTTCTCTCTCAATCACCAACTCAGTCACTCAACCAACCAACCAATCAGCCAATCAACCAACCAATCAGCTAATCGATCGATCAACCAACCGACTGACCAATCACCAAACAGCTACGTGTTTCGCCTGAGTTGCACCCGCCTGGGCCAGTGGGCCATTGGTTACGTAACGAAGAACAACGAGATCCTGCAGACCATACCCCAGAACAAAAGTCTCGGTCAGGCCCTCATTGATGGACAGAAGGAAAAATAGTTAGTTGGATGAGTTAAAGGGGATAGAGAGAGTGAATGAGTAAAAGAATTGATGAAAAATTGAATGGATGAATGAATGAATGAATGAATGAATGAATGAATGAATTGATGAGGGTGAATGAATGAAACTCACCCACACGCAGTTATCTCTATCCAGCCGGCCAGGCACACAACCCGAACATACAACAACTTGTTGAAGATGCGCACGGCGATCACATTAAGGTGGCGATCTCTCACTCCTTCATTCATCCATCCATTCATTCATCCATCCATTCATCCATCCATTCATTCATCCATTCATTCGTTCGCTCGTTCGTTCGTTCGTTCGTTCATTCATCCATTCATTCATTCATCCATCCATTCATTCATTCATCCATTCACTTATTCACTCATTCACTCACTCACTCACTCAGATCTCGGAAGAGCAGTATGAGTTATATTGCGAGATGGGCTCGACCTTTCAACTGTGCAAAATCTGTGCCGAGAACGACAAGAATGTCAAGATCGAACCCTGCGGCCACCTCATGTGTCGCCCATGCCTGACTCACTGGCAGGTCTGTCTGTCTGTCTGTCTCTCTTTCTGTCTGTCTGTCTGTCTCTCTGTCTCTCTTTCTGTCTGTCTTCTGTTGGCTGGCTGGGGGAAATTAATTAATAGTTCGGGAAAACAGACTGGTCGAAAATGAATTGGGAGAAATTAAAAATTTTGTAGTCTTACAAAGGAGTGTTTTGCGGAATCAGCCATCAGTTATCATCACTGTCGTCACCATCCATTACAATCATCATCAATACCAACATCACAATCATCACCATCGTCATCATCATCATCATCACAATCGCAGGCCCAGAGCGGACTCTGCCCGTTCTGTCGTTCCGAGATCAAAGGCACCCAGAAAATTGTGGTCGACCCTTTCAACCCCCCGAAATCTCTGACGTCATCGCTCTCGCCCTTATCGTCATCATCGCCACCGCATGGCGATGCTCCTGATAACGATAGCACTGGTGGCGGTCATGATGATGATTCTGTAGGGGCCGGGCATTCTAGATCGGTTTGGTTTTTTTTATTACTTCTGTTGTTTATTATATTATTGTTTTTATTTTTGTTACTATTATTATCTTCGTCGTCATCATCATCATCACAGACGGCAGCGCCGAAGTTCGACATAGCTTCAATCCTTTTGAGTAGAAATAATCCCCAACTATCATCGTCATCATCACCGCCACAACAACAACAATCATCATCATCATCGTCGTCGTCATCGTCGTTATCATTATCACAACCATCGTCGTCGTTGTCGTCGTCTTCGTCGCCACCATCATCAGCAGCAGCAGCAGCAGCTTCCAAGTCACTGTCGCCAAAGCGTTCCAATACGATACTGGGCTCCTTCAATCATTTCAGGCATAAATACATTAATAATAACAACGAGAATAATAACAATAATAATAATTTTATTATTCATGTTAATGTTATGAATAATTGTGTTAGTATTAATAATAATAGCAAGAGTGCTTCGAACGTTAATATTAGTATCAGTAAAGCAAATACGCCAACTACTACTACTACCACTACTACTACTAGTACTACTACTAGTACTAATAATAATAATAATAAAAATAATAATAATAATAATAATGCCACTGCTACTGGTGGCTGTAGGGATTTGGTTCCACCAATGATACCAGCTAGACAGCCAAGCCCAGCTGCTTCTCCCAATCATTCGCCTGTTACCGCAAGGTCTGCACTCCGATTGGCTGGCTGGCTTGATGCTTTGATTTGTGATTTGTTGGCTGATTCGAACGGCTTGTTGATTTGATTGACCGGCTGATTTGGATGGATCGATTTGATTGGCCGGCCGATTTGGATGACTTGATTTGATTGGTCGGCTGAAAGGGTGATCCGTTGTTGTTATAATTGCGATAATATTTTTTATTCGCAGAAGAGCCCCTCCCCCGCCAATAACTGATGACGTCAACAACAACAACAATAATAATAATTTTAGTAGCAGGTCAAACGTTCGTGAGACGATGGATGATAGCACCATATGCAACAGTCAGTAACAGTACCGTACATCACTTGGCATTTCAATTAGATCCGATTTTGTTTTACTATTATTATTATTATTCATTATTATTATTATTATAAATAATTATTTTATATTAGTATATTTCAATTTTTACCATGCCCATGTCATTCCAGTCATTATTAACCATCTCCATTAAACTCCACAGGGAATACATCGGTACTTAGGAATAAATCCATGAACCTTCGTGAGTATTAATAATAATTATAATTATAATATATTATAATTATAATATAATAGTAATAATAATAATGATTGTTTTAATCGTTATCAGCACTCTCAGCTCTGTCCAATAGGAGTACGGCAACGGTTAATCATATAATGTTAGTGATGTTTAGGATGATGATGATGATGATGATGATGATGATGATGATGATGGTTACGATGCTAATGCTGATGTTAAACGTCGAATTTGTGTTGGGGTTAATTGTAGAAGTTGAACTACTACTACTACTACTACTACTACTTCTACTACTACTACTACTACTACTACTACCACTTACTACAACTACTACTAATAATAATAATAATATGAAAAATAATAATTTGCAGAAGTTGCGAAAGCAACAACAATCTGCCCAATCAGCCGCCACCGATACCGCAAAGAAGAAACCATCCACTACCCCTACTCCAGGCTTCCTCATCATCACCATCATCATCACCCCACCACCCACCATCGTCATCATCATCTCATCATAATCTATCGTCAACGTCATCTCAACCGCCCATTCCTATTTCATCATCATCGTCGTCGTCGTCGTCATCATCACTGCTTCCGTCATCATCATCACTACTTCCGTCATCATCATCAGTACCATCTGCAACCACTTCGTCTTCTTCTTCATCATCATCCTCATCATCATCTACGGCTCGTGCTCTCACTAACTCTACATCTCTCCAACTACCAACCCCCTCATCATCATCATCATCGTCGTCGTCGTCGTCATCATCATCTCATTATTGAAACCACCCGCTTAGGCTTATGATGATGATGGTTATGATGTTTATGATGATGGTTATGATGATGGTTATGATGATGATGATGATGATTATGATGACGATGATGGTTATGATGATGATAGTTATGATGATGGTGGTTTATTACCTTCAGACACAATCATGTTATAATTATTTCTAGTTTAACGGTCATCCAAATCTTCACCATCATCATCATCATCATCATCATTATTATTATTATTATTATTATTATTATTATTATTATTATTATTATTATTATTAATTATTATCCTTATATTATTATTATTGTTATTATTGTCACCATCATCATTGTCTTTCCAACCAATCATCGTTTTAATCATTTATCATCTCCTTTTGTAATGGTAGGCGAGAAGATTTTATACACAAGATTAAATTAAATTTCATTACTTTACAATACATTACATCAAATTACATCGTATTATATTACATTTATATAAAATACATTATAATATATTACATTTCGTTACAATGCATTACAATATTACATAACATTACATTACATACGTAAGCTTCTTCACGTGTTTTTCGATTTGAGTTCGAGTATAATTTTTTATTGATAAAGTTTATTATTTAATATTATTGTTATTATTATTATTGTTATTGTTGTTATTGATGTTGTTGATAACGATATTGTGATAATGGAGGTATATTAATAATAGTAATATTAATTATTAATTAATTATTATTATTATTATTAAGTTTGTTAACGAGATATCTTATAGCTTTTAACGTTAAGATTGTAAATACCATTAAATAAATTAAATTAATAATTAAATAAAAAAACAAATTTTTATTGTTTTATGTTTAGGCTTAGTTACACACACACACAACACACACAAACACACACAAACTCACATGCGCACACACACATACACGCACACATACACGCACACATATACATATATAATTTATTTGTATATACAAGACCTGGCTCTCTAATACTTACTCTTAACGTCATAAAAACTCTCCGATGATGAGCCAACAGAATCTCGCGCACCAGATATTTTTTCAAAACAATCAACAAATTTTTAACGTTTTTCGTCTTCTAGCTGAGTAAGCCTTTTCAGTAAAGCTCGGTTTCTGAAGTACCCTGAACCCTGACCCCATACCAAATGACCCTACTGACCCCTGCCCTATAAGGACTTGTGTATATTCATTTAGTATATGTACAGCCGAAGCTAGTACATGTATATATGTCCACATAATTAGTTTTTGCTTTGTGCCTTGGTTTATATATATATATATATATATATGTATATGTATGGATGTTAATGAATGTGATGTAGGTCACACATACATACAGAAATACAAACACACACACACACAATCATATATATATATATATATATATATATATATATATATATATATATATATATATATATATATATATTTAGGAACGAGGTTTTCAGAAATGCAAATTTCATTGAAATTGTTTGCCCATTTTGCATTAATTAACTTCTAAAGAAGTTTGCATATATATATATATATATATATATATATATATATATATATATATATATATATATATATATGTATGTATTTTTATTATACATGGGATATATTGATGTTGAGTGTTGGTTTAATAGTTATATATATATTATTGTTATTTTTTAATGATGGCATACTGACACCATATATATATTCATTAATTCACCCATCCATTCATTGATTCATACATTCATTCACTCATTCATACATACATACATACATTCATTGGCCCATTCAATCATTCATTCATTGGCCCATTCAATCATTCATTCAATCATTCATTCAAATATTTGTTGCTTATTTTATGATTAATTTCCTCAGTTTTAACAAATATTAATTTATGCTACGTATGTATATGTATACATTTTTAGATTGAAATAAATTAATGATATTCAGCCTCTTTCTGTTGTCGGGAACTTCAATTATGGTTTTGTATAAAACATTTTTAATTTTCTCCAAATTATACAAAATCTTCATGATAATAAGAATAACAATAGAAAAAAATCAATAGCAATCGTTGATTTAATTTTTTTTCTCAAATCCGCTCACCTTGAATGGCTGTCTTCGTACGGTAGAAAAAGATAGAAACTGATAATAAATGAAAGAATTGGCACATGATATTTATGCTGCAGCTGAATTTTTGGCAACAGTAAAACTTAGCCGATTTCAGCTGAATTTTTGGCAACAGTAAATAAAACTTAACTGATTTCAAAGAGCTGGACATCTTTTAACATTCATCTCGTCATTTTAAGGTCTCTTTGATCAAACTTTTTTTTGCCGAAACTGTCGTTCCAGTTCCGACCAGAAGCTTCTGAAAGATCATCCACCGAAATTTTCTCACATTTCCATCTCCATATTTCGACTTTTTTTCATGGTTTATTGATTAATGGATGGCTTGATTGATGGACGGATAGTTGAATGGATGGGTGGATGAGAAAATGAATAAACATCTTGTGTTTGGTTTTATTTTCAATTCTTACAGGCCTTGCTAAAAGTTAGTACCAAAAACAATGTAAATAATAAAATAAAATAATAAAAAAATGATAATAATAAAAATAACTACACCATTATTAATAATAACAATAATAATCTTAATAAATTATAGAATATAAATAGAGCGTAATCAACAGTGTTTTTTTCCATGGAATAATATTGGCGTTGATAGATATATTTGTGTTTGTATGTATGTATGTATGTGTGTGTGTGTAACTCTTTATGTGTATGTTTGTGTACGTGTGTGTATGTATGTGTATGTACGTTTGTGTGTGTGTGTGTGTGTGTGTATGTTTGTGTGATTTCAAGACGCCAAGTTAAAAAGAAGACGATCATTATCACATAAAAAAATTGTTATTCGTTCGTTCGTTTAATATGAATAATTAATATAAATATTCTTATTGTTAATGTTATTATTATTATTATTGTTGTTGTTGTTGTTGTTATTATTGTATCAGATTTCTATACCGACGCAAACATCATCATTAAGGTCGGCCTCATCTGAATCATCGTTCTCTATATAAAACATCTTATCATTATTGTTATTATTTTTATTATTATTGTTACTTTTATTTTTATTATTATTATTATTATCATTAGTGTTGTTGTTGTTGCTGCTGTTCGCAATGTTCTTATTGTAGTTGGTCACGTTATTATTATTATTATTATTATTTTTGTTGTTGTTGTTATTGTTCTTATTAGTGTCATTATTGTTATTAATGTTATTATTTTCGCTACAAAAGCAGCAACATTTCGCTACCAAAAAATAACTGCTGTCTTCTTCAGCAGAGCTCCGGCTATACTTCTCTGAAGAAACTCTCGCCGAGGTTCGGCGACAATTTTCCATGAGAAGTACCCTCGCCAAGTTCTCGCGACAATCCGCCGATGATACCCTCGCCAGTCTCTGGCGGCAGTCTCTGGAGAAAAATTTCCCAAATGCCTGGCGATACTCCTTAGTACCCCACGCATACATCAGCGGATTCCAGACGGAATTTAAGTGGGAGAGACAAATAAAGAATAGGAGCATGTTCTTAGGCTTCGAACAACAGGGGCAGTGTAGGGATACGGTGTTGGTTAGGTAGAGAGGCAACCAAGAGAGGAGGAAGGTGGTCACGATTAGTGCCAGACTTCGGAAAATCTGCTTAGGTGGTGGTTATATGGATGGTTATATCGGTGGTGTTATGTTATTTTGAAACTTGAATGAACTTTAATCTTAGAAAAATAATTTTTTTTGATCTTGAACTCACCTTGAACTCTGACCTCCAGCGTGAACTCGGCGAATCTGGAGAAAGGAAGGAGATGGACGGTCTGCTGGGCAGTTGTTGTCGCAGCTGCTGCCGTGGCTGCTGTTGCTGCTGCTTCAGAATAAGCTGTGTGGAGGGTCTTCTGATATTGCTGGCTGAGTACATTGATGAAAGCTTCCGATACAAATCTTTATTCATCTGTACATTGTGTGTGTGTGCGCGCGTGTGTGTAATGTGTGTGTTTGTGTATATACGTATATTCATGTGTGTGTGTGTGTGTGTGTGTGTGTGTGTGTGTGTGTGTGTGTGCGTGCGTGTGTGGCAAATTTTAAATTTTGAAAAGTATCTTGTTTATAACAATTAACGTATTTTAAAATAAAGATAAAAAAGATTCGATGACTTATTACATAAATTCTTCGATTCGATATGCAAGTAGAGATAAAATCATAAATTACTAAAATAGAAACAAATGAACGAGAGAACGTGTATTTTTTGAAAATTTTATTCTTTCATTACACATCAGCGGTTGCTTAATCTGAACGATCGCCTGATGAAATTATTAATTTTTTCCCCTTTTTAAGCTATTTATTTCATTTTTTAAAATCTCTCTCTCTCTCTCTCTCTCTCTTTCTTGTTTCTTAAAATTACTTTTTATGATTTTTGGATTTCGCCTGATTGATCTCTATCTATCTTTTCTCTCTTTCTTTTCTTCCTCCCTCCCTCACTCACTCTTTCTCTCTCTCTCTCTCTCCCTCTCTCTCTCTCTCTCTCTCTCTCTCTCTCTCTCTCTTTTATCAATCCTCCTCTCACCTGTTTCCGAATTTCGAGATAGATCCGGACGTAGGCGTAGGCCATGATGAATGACGGAAGGAGAATTGTCGTCCAGAAGAGGAAAGCAAGGTAGGCCGGATCGATGACCTCCGCGAAGAAACACCTGAATAAATTAACATAAATTTACCTAATTATCATAATTTATATTAACATAAAAGTAGTTGGCTATCTATCAGGAATATTGTTAATTTTTATCATTACTGTTGTATGGATTACCGCCCGCTCAATTTATTCTTATTTCTTGTTAATGCTATAACCATTTTACCATGTACGTACGCATCATTAAAAAATTAAATCTTTAATTTCTAAAAAATACTTATAAAATAATAACTTTAGTAATAATATAATTTATATAAATTATTTTCTTATAATTAAAAAAAACCTTTTATATTTGGGTTCCCCTAAGTTCCATCCAATGAGCGGAAAGCACCCTAGAAGACACCCAAACATCCAGCCAATCACAACGACAATTTTTTTGACCCAGCCCCGCCTATAAACTCTGCGGTACTTGAAAGGGTGCAAGACGGCCATGTACCTATCTAGTGTGACGATCAACAGTGAAAAGATGGATACCGTACATATGAGAAGCAATACCGAAGTAGATATCAAACACAATCGAAAGTTAGTCGGTAAGCCGATTTCGGTTAAAATTGCCGACGGTACGCCAAATAAACCGACTAAGAAGTCAGCCATAGCTAGAGATGTTATGTAGCTATTAGCTGTAGATCTACGTAGATGGCGTACTTTTATGAAGAGAAAGATGATTGAGAAGTTAGCTAGGACTGCAGCTATAGCTATGAGAATTTCGACTATTATGTAAGCTGGGCTGGTTTGTGATGGGATTGTTGTTGGGAGGTTGAAGGAATGATGTGTGAGACAGATGTTGTTGTTGTTGTTGTTTGTGCTACTATTATTGTTGCTGCGGTTGCTGTTGTTGTAACCATTGTAGTGGTAGAGGTAGTGGTTAGTGTTTTTTATGTATATGTTGTTGATGTTGATGTTGAGTGTGTTGTTGTTGCTGATGTTGTTGATGTTGAATGTGTTGTTGTTGATGTCGCTTGGTGTGGAGTAGTAATAGCTGTTGTCCGTGATGTTGTTTTTGTTGATTTCTGTGACGTCTTTGTTGATATCTGGGAGGTTTTTGTTGAAATCTATGCCGGATTTGTTGGAAAACCTTGCTAATGTTGTTGTCTTTTTCATTGACGTTGACAATACTGTTGTTATTGTTGTTGTTGTTGATGTATTCGTTGTTGTTGTCGTTGATATTGTTGTTGCTGCTGTTTATTCCTTTATTAATCACTTCAATCTTTCGTTTCTTTATTCATCCATCCATTCATTCATTCATTCATCCATCCATTCATTCATTCATTCATTCATTCAGACAATCGCGATCGTTCAGTCGCTCCGGCGGTAATAAATTCTTTCAAATCTAATTGGCTCTTTGATGATGACGTCAGGATAGATGGCGTCTGATATAAACAAACTGTTTACCTGGTGGTGATGATGATGAAGGAGATGATGATGAAGATGAAGAAGAAGAAGATGATGATGAAGATAAAGATGATGATAATAATAGTAAAAAAAATAAGCGAATTTGACTTTGAATAAGGCAACGATAACAATAAGATGATGTTTATAATGTTACATCTAGCTTGATAACTACTACTACTACTCCTACTACTACTACTACTACTACTACTACTACTACTACTACTACTACTATTACTACTACTACCACTACTACTACTACTACTACTACTACTACTACCACTACTACTACTACTACTACTACTACTACTACTACTACTACTACTATTACTACTACTACCACTACTACTACTACTACTACTACTACTACTACTACTACTACTACTACTGCATACTTATAATAATAATGACGACGATGAAGACAATGATGATTTTTATGTTATTTAATATGGTTGATAGCGATAAAGATATTATTAATAATGAAACATACATTTTTATCTCTCTTTCTCTCTCTCTCTTTCTTTCTCTCTCTCTCTCTCTCTCTCTCTCTCTCTCTCTCTCTCTCTTAGTTACGTAACTATTGATAGAATTTTTTCTTTGAAACAATACTACGCATGCGATCTCTCCATAAAAACAAAACATAAAAAATGAATGAATGAATGAATGAATGAGTGAATGAATGAATGAGTGAGTGAATGATTGAGTGAGTGAATGAATGTACGACTGAATAAATAAATGAGTAAATGAATGACTGAATGAGTATATTATTAAATGAATGAATGAATCAGTGAGTGAGGGAGTGAAGAATGAAGGAATGATTATTTTTAATTGTAACTTTGAAATGTGTACCATCAATAATTGAACGAACTAATAAATGAATTAATTAGTTAATAGATGAAAGAATGAATGAGTGAGCGATTGTTTAATAGACTGATAAGATGCAGGAATGAACGAATGGTTGACTGAACGAACAAGATAAATAACTGCAAATCAATATACAAATAATACAAATATGTTTATATATTTCAACTATCATTCAGATGCCAACAACTCGTGAGATTCAGTTACATTAAAAACGAAAATAAAAACATTTATTATCATTATTATTATTATTGTAAAAATTATTAATAATAATATAATAATTAATATTAGAATAATTTTATTTTCCTGGATTCCATCCTCTTGATGTCTTTATATAAATTCAAATGCTGCGGTTTTACGTATGTATGTATGAATGTATGTGTGTATGTATGTATGTATGTATGTATGTATGTATGTATGTATGTATGTATGTATGTATGTATGTATGTATATATGTATGTATGTATGTATGTATGTATGTATGTATGTATGTATGTATGTATGTATGTATGTATGTATGTATGTATGCATGTATGTATGCATGTATGTATGTATGCATGTATGTATGCATGTATGAATGTATGTATGTATGTATGTATGCATGTATGTATGCATGTATGAATGTACATGTATGTATGTATAATAATAATTGTTGTGTAAATATAAAAACACATTAGTGATTGGTTGAATGAATGAATGAATGAATGAATGAATGAATGAATGAATGAATGAATGAATGAATGAATGAATGAATGAATGAATGAATGAATGAATGAATGAATGAATGAATGAATGAATGAATGAATGAATGAATGAATGAATGAATGAATGAATGAATGAATGAATGAATGAATGAATGAATGAATGAATGAATGAATGAATGAATGAATGAATGAATGAATGAATGAATGAATGAACGAATATATAATCGAATGAATGAACGGACTAATGAATGCATGAATGAGTGAGAAAATAAATGGATGAATGCCGAATTCGTTCTTATTCAACAGGTGTCCTTAGAAAATTTTCATTTTAAAAGTTTGGAGGAAGCAATAAGTGAGAGAATAATTGAAAGAAAGTAAGAAAGAAAGATAGAAAGAAATATGAATGAATAAATGAGTGAATGAGTGAGTAAGTGAATGAATTAAAGGTAAAAAGTTACAATAAAAGAAAATGATTTAATTGCTTTATAAACAGTTCCATTAAAGCTTCAATTAAAGGCATTAAATGTTAGGAACTGAAAAAACTCTACAAATAAAAATGAAGGAATAGATGATGAATAGAAAAAAAGAGAGAGAGAAAGAGGGAGAGAGAGAAAGAGGGAGAGAGAAAGAGGGAGAGAGAAAGAGGGAGAGAGAAAGAAGGAAACAAAATGCGAAAGAGAGAGAGAAAGGAGAGAGAGAGAGAAATTAAGCTGCAGTCAGGCACACAAGCCTAGAAGATGAATACCAACACACACACAAGCAAATAAACTAACTCACGTGCACACACACACACACACACACCTGAAAAACTGCAACAACAACAGCAACAACAACATCACCAACAACATCAACAACTACAACATCAACAACAACCACAAGATATCTCGTCTCCGTCACTAAAGCTGGTTGAATGAAAAACGGTCTAAAATCGAAGTCAACAAAAAAAATTTTGACAAAATTTTTTGAAAAATTGATACACGCACACTCACCACACACACACACACACACACACACACACACACACACACACACACACACACACACACACACATTCACACACACACATTCACACGTTATAATCGGCGCTATACAAATCTTTCAGATGTGTTTTTAAATAAATGATTACTTACATACATAAATAATCACTAATACCTCATGCTTAAACTTTATAATGAAACCATCTCCCTTTCATACAAACATACAAACGAATGAACAAAACATGCATACATACAAACATGTAAACATGCAAACAAACACACATACATACATACATTGTATATCATTTATTACCGCTGGTATACATGGTAACAGAAAAAATCGATGTTGTCACTTAGAGTGCAACTAGAGTGAATAAAAAATTCTAAAAAATTTTTAAAGTTTGTCTGAATGTTTGTATGCTTGCTTGTTTGTATGATTGTTTGTACGTGTTTATGTATGTATGTTAGTATGTTGTCTGTGCGCACCTTGTTCATTGTTATATATTTGCAGTCTTCTTCTCAGAGTAAAAAGGTTTTATTAAAAAGTCTCGTCATCATCGTCATCCTCATTATCATGGTGGTCATCGTCACCATCATCGTCACCATCATCGTCACCATCATCATCATCATCGTCGCCATCGTCAACATACAGACAGGTATACAGTCTATATGACAATGCTTTGATTCCAAAATTTTGAACGATTGACAAATGAAAATAATAGAGTGCATTACGTTTATACAATTAGTCTCCACTCTTTTCTCTCTTCTCCTCTCTCTCTTTCTCTTTCTCTCTCTCTCTCTCTCTCTTTTTCTTTCTCTCTCTTTCTTTTTCTTTCTCTCTCTCTTTTTTTCTTTCTCTCTCTTTCTCTCTCTCTTTTTTTCTTTCTCTCTCTTTCACTCTTTCTCTCTCTCTCTCTCTCTCTCTCTCTCTCTCTCTCTCTCTCTCTCTCTC